GTCTTCTGTGCGGCTTTGTGTTAAGAATGACTTTACCTTGCCCCAACGGACAAGTCTGTCTCAAAGACATAGTGAACACTGTAAACTCTGATTGTTGTTGATTATCTGCCCTACCGACTTACGTCTGTCGTATCCGATCACTGAAACGCCATAGTCGAGATTCGGTTTTCCTGGTATAAATACGAATCACTCATTTCATCGTCGCGTATATCAAGTCAAATGTGGACAGCGGCACTTATTCGCACATTTTCTGTGGCTTTGTATCTAAATGATAGGAGGTTTATTAATTTTCCCACCACTGAATATATATTTTTTCTGGAAATCATGTATGTTAACTTGCATCTTCCACATTGAGGTGAACTTCTGGTAGATCGTGTAGAAATGTTAAAAGGTTTTCCTTGAATTTCAGTTTAAAAGTCGACGTAGGTCTTAGGTGCCAGAAAATACGATAATAGTTGTTATTGCTGGTTCAGCATATCCCCACCTTGAGCTGTTTTTCAGTCTTGTTGATTATTCGACTTAAGTTTGGCATTAAGTTTGTTAAACTTAATGTTATTTGTTTAAATGTGGCACAAAACCTTTTTTCTGTTAGGTGATACTATTGTCGTTTTACATTATTTCTTTTGCACTGAAATGTGATTAAACAGTTTAACTGTACACAGCTAAGCTGCTCCTATTGGATGATACGTCATCACCGATGTTACGGTCTGTGTCTCACTGGCATTCATCAACAAGAAAAGCTTTGAGGTTCGTGGTACCAAGTTTTAGGTTGCGTTGCTGGATCAAAGCTAATCATGTTAATCAGAGTTGAGGAATCTACTTCCACTGCTAATAAGTACATATGTATTTGTTTAAATTGTCATTTTTCACATATATAGCACATAACTCTACGTAATGTAAAGTAAGAAATTTAATCAGTTTTTTGTTAAGTGATTATTTAGCGATCCATTGGAGATGATATTCTTCATTAACACTATAGCCGATGCCTCACCAACTTTTATCAAAGCCACAGGATTCAGAGAATTAAAGCGCTTTGTGAGGGTTTAATCACGAACAGTTCATTGATCAGTTGCGGGCGGCACTGCCTCAGCCTGCGAGTTAAGTTTTTTGCACTCAGGGGGTGAATGTTTAATCTCAAAAATGCTTCATGGATGATGTTAGCTTGAAAGCAGAATGCTGATTCGTATTGCCAGGATGGCAGAAATTTGGAAATAGCGGCGAAATGATTTTCCCAAATACCTATATTTATCTACATTTTTCTGAACGTTTGGATATATTTTTCCTCCTGTTGTCAGCTCCGTGAAAGGGCGACGATTCGAATCCATTGCTACTGTGACAGTTCCTGCAACAACGCTGTTACTTCTGTTTATAACTGAGGTGCATCACTGCGAGTAATGCCAATGACGACCTCAGTATTATGTTAAACTTTGACGACCTTTGCGACAGGACTGTCGTCATCATGCAGCTCAAAACAAGAAAGTGTAGTACGCATGGTTGTCGAGATACTGCATTAGTAAAGTTGAGATTTCATGTCAGTTTTTATCGTTGTCATTTAGAGATACCATTTTACTTACTTAACAATGTCTCGGTATTGAAGCGGTGCGAATTTCTGAAACTAATGACCACTGCTGAACTTACTGCAACGTCGGTATTTGATTATCAGGAGAAGAGTGTAGTACTAAATAGGAAATAACTAAGAGGTTTAAATCAAGAATGCTGATTTGTGTTAAAACTATTCAGTACAAACAACGGTTTCTTCAGTTGGTTAAATGAGTTACCAAGTGG